GAGCCCCCTCATAATTGGAGAAGGTCATCTCCAAGAAGAAATCAAAGAAACAAGACCTTCCAGCTCCAGTTTCGAAATAAAAAACCACCCAGAAAATGGTTGCACCTATATATGGCTAGATTGAACTAAAACAAAAGTAAAGAGGAAGTCTTCATTATCGTTCCATATTGTAAACACTTTCAAATTCCTTTCCATAATCTATGTCTATTTCTAATTCTACCTGTACAAAATATAATCATGCCTGCTTGTAATTACTTATGCATACATGAATACTAGTAAGTTAAACTCGTTCATCTATTTACAAAGACAGTGTGATACATAGTAGCTTAGGAATTGCTTCTTTTCCCTATGATTTTAAATGTACAACGAGTTTCTTTCTAAAACACATATTTGCAGATGTCACTTTAAACACTATTTTCTGAGATTATATTTTCCATAGAAAACAGATGTCTGCAATTATCCCTTTTTTGACCTCTGAGACTTATCAAAGTCAAATAGGTAATCATCCAATCAGACGGGCTATCATTATCAGAAGAAAAGTAATTATAATCTGAATATGTTTGAACATGATTATTATAAGCTTTAAACTGTTACACTTTTGATTGGGGCAGAATTGGAAGACATTATCACTTCATAATTCAAATGATGTAACTTCACTTGTTTTTGTCATTTAGAATCTGGAGAGCTAAATTTATTTAACAATATAATTCTTTAAACATGAACAAATTATGCAATAATCTCTTTAAAACCATGAGAATGCTTCTCAAAATCTTGACAGTGAAATTAGGGGAATTTTTTTTTTTTTCACCAGAGCAAATCAGAGCTCGGCACTGAGCCCCGTCAGAGTGGGAAGCTTGAGGCAGACATGTTCATTTCACAGACATTTTGTGATCTGCTTGGTTCTTTTAAAGAGACCAGCTGCTTTCCTGTCTACCTGTTACGGCCCACACACTGCTGGTCCAAAGCAAAAGGAGAAAATTAGGCCAAATACAGAAATGATCAGAAAGAAAAAAAGGTGTGTAAAAAAAAATATCTTTCCAAAGAAGATGTATAAACAGAGAAATGAATTAGAACTAAGGATATGAATGCAGGGGGAAATTAGTGTTGAAAACTAAATGCCTCATGGATATAGCGTAAAACATCATTTTCTATTGAAAATAATTTTATAAAACCTGATTACACAGCCCTTCAGTCCAGATGTTTGTTTAACTTGGTGAGGGGTCCTGATTTTTCTCCTTCATCTTTTCTGAGATCTGTTCCCTTTGTATTCTATTGTGCTTTCCAGCCGACCTGCTCATCTCCTCAGGAAGGAGCTACGGGGATGCCAGGGCATTCCTGAGCTGTTGCTGGGGCCTGAATTAACAGTGACCTGGGGAACGTCGATAAAAATGAGCACGTGGGCCCGTCGGAGAATTCCTGTACCTCAGAAGTGCTGGGTGTTTGTTTTCTCTGAACATGGCAGAAGGTTAGAAACAGTAAGAAAAGAGGGGCCTTCGGAGAATTTGAAAGGCACTGAATGGATGTTTTTCCATAATCAGAACATTTCTTAGAACAATGGTTTAGGAGGCATCATTCAACTTATAATTTTAGTTTAGAGGAGTAAAGACCTGAGGCTTCCCCTCCCCCGCTTTCTCCCCCACCCAAATAGAGCAGACCTTTGGAAAAGCCAAATTTGCACTTAATATCTTTCCACTTCCCATATTAAAAGTACCCCTTTCTTCTTGTTGACACATCTTTTTGACTTATTTTTTTCCCCTCCCCTGCGCCCTCCACACCTATGTTTCAATATGCTTCACTTGTTTTTGTCATTTAGAATCAAAATTCAACAAAGAGCTACTAAAGTGTCTAATATGGCCAGGCACTGTGGACATACCAGTGAACAAAATAGACAAATACTTCTGCCCTTCTGAAGCTTATATTCTAGTTAAATTCTTATCAATGCCAGCTGCTCTGTTATTAATTGATAACAAAAGTATTAAAAGTGTTATTGAGGATTTAAGGTGGTATTCTTTTATCATTCAGGGAACCAGCATCTTTGGTGAGGGGTAGGACCCAGTAATGTGCATTATTAAACTCCCTTGGTGATCTGGACCCTACTAAAGTATGAAAGTGATGACACAGGCTAGGCGCAGCGGCTCACGCCTATAATCCCAACAGTTTGGAAGTCCAAAGTGGGAGAATTCCTTGAGCGTTAAGAGTTTGGGACCACCCTAGGTAGCATAGTAAGACCTGGTCTATTAAAAAAAAAAAAAAAAATTAAAGGTAGCTGGGCATGGTGGTGAGCACCTGTAGTCCCAGTTACTTGTGGGGGCTGAGGTGGGAGAAGGTCAAGGTTGCAATGAGCCATGATCACACCATTGTACTTCAGCCTGGGCGACAGAGCAAGACCCTGTCTCAAAAAAAAAAAAAGAAAGAAAAAAAAAAAAAAAGAAGTGATGATAGAAAGTGGACTCCTGCCACAGAAGTGGGAGACTTGCAAGCTAAGCCACAGGAGGGTTGACTTTGTGCTGCCAGGATCTTTGTGGGTGCCTCCTGGAATTTCACCACATGGACAGGCGCCTGTTCGTTCCACCTTTCCAAGGCTGGACTGCACAGACGCCTCCTCTGCTCTCTCTAGTGTGCAGAGATTGTGAGCTCACTACTTTGTTAGTCCCTCAGTGGCAGAGAACCTGTTTGATTAGGATGACTAATGATGTATAACTCCCTATTCCCTAGCACAGTGCCTGGGACAGTGTGAGTGCTCAGAAACATCTAAACAAAGCATGGCTGTCAATTTCACTTCCTAAAAGCTTTGGCACTCTTTTTAGTCCACATGGAAAGATCTTTCCTTGTCTGTGTGCTCCCTGTTGGTCACAGATTCCCAGCCTAACGTATTATCTCACAAGATGTCGAACTGGAAATTCCCAGCTAGATTCTTACTCTACATTTTGTCCAGCTCAGGCACCTAGATTATGGCACTACTTTGAGATGGAGATACTTTCTTGATATTTAGACCACAATGCCAAACTTTTGCACATCCATGCACTGCTTCTGATGCATTTAGCTCATTAAAGTAGGCGGCATCCAGCTGCATCCACCATCTCTCTCCTCCTAATCTACTTTCAAATAACCAAGGCAGCCTATTAACACGTGGTGTTTTCATCAGACTTTGCACACTACTGCCTTTAAGCCTTGTGATCACATCAATTCCCATCTTTTCAGAATGTCCTTTCTCTCCGGTTTTACCCGGACCCATTCTATCCAACTTTCAAGACCCACCCAGCAAACACAATGCCCATCATCCATCGTCTCTGAGTGGGGACAGCAGCAGTCCGAATGACCCTTTTCCACAAGCCTTCTGTGACCACTACAAGCAATCCCTCCTCCTTCTCATTGCTTCGCGCAATTATTTTCTGTAGAAATTACTCAGCATCCTCATTTGCTCTGTAAATTATCTTTTTATACAATTATAGATGCCCACATGTATGCTTAATTAGCTCAGTGAGAAGCAGAATAGCACATTGGTAAGAGCATGGTTTGGGGGGTCCAGCAGACTCAGGTTTAAATCTAGGTCTTCCCCTTGGTGAAGATATGACTTACAACAGGTTACTTCTTGGGATTTCAGCTTTGCCATCTGAAATATAGGGTAAGTGTATCTACCTGTATTAAATAGGTCTTTTATTCTAATTCTCTGATGTGTGGGACCTTGCTGACCCTGGAGAGATTGCTGCTCCCAAAACTGGCCAATTCCTAGAGATAGTAACCAACTGATCTGTGAATGTGCCTTTCTATGCAAACCAACCAATCTAAAGCCCATACCCACACATTACCTCCTTTCTCTGGGCTCTCATCACATTTGGGTCACTAGTCCTGTGTCCTTGTCACTGCCAGGGCCAGGTAGCAGGCCAATGAGGGGTAGACCCTATGCCTCAGAGCCTGCTAAAATTATTCAAACTATCCAATCCCAAGACCAACCTGGACAACATAGTGAGACCCCCATCTCTAGAAAAAAAAAAATTAAAAAATTAGCCAGGCATGGTGGCATGTGCCTGCAGTTCCAGTTACTAGGGAAGCTAAGGTGGGAGGATCCCTTGAGCTTGGAAGGTTGAGGCGGCAGTGAGCTATGATTGCGTCACTGCATTCTAGCCTGGGTGACAGAGCAAGACCCTGTCTCTAAAAAAATAATAATCATAAATTGAAAATAAATAACCCTAACAAATTCCAATGTGATGCTGATGTATTGTTTAGGTACCACACTTTGGGAATTATTAGCCTAATCATAGTAATCCTTCAATAAATGGTATCCCATAATTATTATTTTATCAGTTCCTTTAGGTCAGAAACTAAACCTTATACCTTGTATCCCTCATATCAAAGAGGCTCGCAGCAGGCACTCAATACAAGATGCTGAAGGCTATTTGACATTAAAGCTTACTAAATAGTGAACTCTACCTATTAAGATACGTTTGTGACTAGTCTAGGCATGGTGGTTCATAGCTGTAATCCCAGAACTTTGGGAGACCAAGACAGGAGGATAAATTGAGGCCAGGAGTTGGGGACCAGCCTGGGCAAGCTAGCAAGACCTTGTCTCTACAAAAAAATTTAAAAATTAGCCAGGTGTTGTGGTTTTGCACCTGTAGTCCTAGCTACTTGGGAGGCTGAGGTGGGAGACTCACTTGAGCCCAGGAGGTCAAGGTTACAGTGAGTTATGATGGTGCCACTGCACTCCACCCTGGGTGAGAGAGCAAGACCCTGTCTCTAAAGAAAAGAAAAAAGGTATCTTTGTGAATAGACTAGGAACTTGTCTAGTTAGGAATATGATCTAGTTAGCCATTGCTGCATAACCATAACAAATGCTTAGTGGCTTAAAATAACAACCATTTTACTATATCTCATGATTTTGTGAGTCAGGAATTTGGGCAAGGCTTGCCTGATCAATCTTCTGTTTCATGAGGCATTGATGGAAGTCGTGCAAAGATACCCAACTGGCAGCTGGGCTGAATCATTTATATGGCTGATACCTTGCAGGGATGGCTCGAAGCTGGGCTCCATGGAGACTGTCAGCTGGAGCTCCTCCACTTGACCTTTCCAATGTAGTGGCTTCAAGGTAGTCAGATGCCTTACATGGCAGCTTAGGGCTCTATGAAAGAGTGTTTCAGTTAGTAAGGTGAAAGCTACATGGCCTTTTATGATCCAGCCCCAGAAATCCCATTTGGTCAGTTTCACTGTATGCTATTGGTCGTCAAAACACTCACAAGCTTCCCCCATCCTCTCCCCAGATTCAAGAGCAGGAGATATGAATCCCTCATTTCACAGGTGGAGTGTCAAAGAATTTGTGGGCCACATTTCTAAACTATCCCATAATGTGTGATTGTAGCACTGTATCTAGTGAAGGGAATAAAACAAATAAGCAAATGACCTAGGGCTTTATAATTGTACTCTGCTGTTCTCCATTCTGAACTTTTGATATTGAATCCTCTTCCCCAATATTTCATTGGAAACCAGGCAGCTTCCCCATGACCATCTTCATCTTATGACTGTAAGTTGGAATGAGTATCCATATACCTGTCAGAATTGCCTAGTGCAGTAAAACCCACAATGAAATTCTCTTCCCTACTGCAGGTTCATTATACAGCATGAAAAATCGCATCCCCCAAGGACACAGTCCCGGTTGGCATTTCTCTCTCCCACTGTAATCTACAATGCCTGGGATACAGGTGTGCTCCTCATTCGTGTCTCCAGTGTTGGGATGGGAGCCTGAACAGCCAGATACAAACCCAATGCTCCTGTTGTCTCCGAGGGAAGCACCAGCAGTCTGAATGACGCCTTCTCTCATGTCTCCAGGGCTGTACTCCCTTTGAGATGCTGTGCTCTCTGACCAGCACAACATGTCAGCAGGAACTAAATGATGACCTCAGCAGCAGTCCAAGATTATTTTGGTTACATTACTCTCTGTGATTATCCAAAAGGGAAAACAAAAAGTCATTTAAACATGCAGCTCGTGCTCTTCCTGCACAACAAAGGATCTCCTGGAAATCTTTTATTTTTTAAAATGACATTATAATGTTATGCTTTGTTTTCATCACTTTTATCATCATTTCTTAGCAGAAGCCCAAGTGGCTCAGCTAGGGTAAAAGGGAAAAAAATCATAATGATTCATTTGTATACATTTGTCCTAGTGGGAATTTGATGTGACGGAAATATAAGAATATTAAATTAGAGGCATTCACTCCATTATTCTCTGTTCTATTTGAACCAGACACAAGATACAAACATGATATGGAGCCCAAGAATGCCACAGTAATTCAGTGACGCATGAGCCCCCACCAGAACACTTGGTTATTTCTAAACTGAGTGGACATGAGCTTTCTCTGCTCTCTGGTGTCATTGATGCCTCTGTTTTAGTGAATCCTTCACCCCATCCCAAATCAATTCCTCCATTAAAGTTCCTCCCTTAAGATAACAGCTTATGTAGTTCTGGAGAGAATGGGGTCAAGTAAGCCACACACTGAGCTGTCCTGAAGTCAGCTTGTTTCCCTACAAACCTCTTTCAGCAAGGCCTCCCCAGGCCGGTTCTCAGCAGCTCTCTTCCAGGAATCAGAGCTGACCAGCTACCGAGGCCAGTGTATCAGTCGGGATCTAACCAGGAAACAGAAACCACCAGAGAATTCCAAACAGGACTTTGATGCAGGGATCAATTACACAAGGGATGGAAGAGCTGAGAGGCCAGCCAGGGCGGGGTGAGGAATCCAGACTGCAAAGACAGGAAGCTGACACCACTGCAGGGCAGAGGAAAGGGAGGACGGAGTTCCCGGAGCTCAGGGTGCCTAATGGAGTCTCTGCGTCACTGAGTGGAGGCTGGAACCATAGTGGACCTGTCTGGCAACAAATGGAGTGGGAGAGGTACGCAGCTGGGAAGGAGGGGAGAAGGCCTCGTTTCTCCCTCTCTACCTCCACCATCCAGTGCTTCCTATCATCCTCTGATCTTAGAAAAGCAACCTACAAGGGTCAGGCCCCTTTGATTTAGAACAGGGTAGAGGAAGGGCAAGAAACAGATCTCAGGAACACAAAGCCAGAATGTGCACTGCCAGTAACCCCGCAAAGCTGGTCTCACTCAGATCTCTGCAGTCTCTCCAGGCCCCTGCACACACCCACCCCTAGCTCAGGTTCAAAGGTCTCAAGCCACTGATGATGCAACCTTGTGGGATACCAGCCTTCCTCATGAAGGCTCCACTCCCATCAAATCTCCAGCCTCGGTCAGCCCGCTCCTTTGGCCTCCCACCCAGTGCTACCTTTAGCTCACTGTGGTTCCCGCTGACTCACCAGTGTCTTTACGGATTTGACTTGATCTTAGATCCATTTCTGTAAGCTGAACTCCAGCTCTAGTGGGTGTGGTCTGGGTTTAGTATCAAATAACCTTCTTTCTCACCACAGAAATATTCTATCCTTTTCTCTTTTCCAGCAGAAGATAGTGTTTGGCTCTCATGATAGGCCCCATTCAAGAGGGAAGGGAGGGAGACTCCACCTCTTTGCAGAAGAGCTTGAAGGGTAAGAGAAATTGCTGTGGACAACTTTGAAAATACAACCAGTCCCATGCAGAGACTTTATAGATCTCCTCAATACTAATCAATAGTTTTTCTCAAAGAGTCCCTCCCTCCCTTACTTTTTCTCTTTCTCCCTTCCTCCCTTTATATTTTCTTTTAGTACCTAGAAAAGTATAGGAAAACTTAATCTTTGGGAACCAGCACATTTCTGAATACAGCTTAATTATAGATTAAATCTTAAAAGATTTAATGGCTCTTTATTTTGTCTTGATTTTGTCAGTCTAGACTCTAACACCTTTACTACTAATATATTCTAATATATGAATAGCAAGAAACTGAACTCAGGCCCTATCCCCATGTTAGAGACTGACTGTGCCCTCTCGAATTTAATGTTGAGGTTCTTCCTAATCCCCAATGTGATGGCATTAGGAAATGGAGCCTTTGGGAGATAATTAGGTAACAAAGGTGTAGCACCTCACTCTCTGGGGTGCCCTTATAAAAAGGAGAGTCCTGAGAGCTCTTAGCCCTCTTTTTAGCTACCAACACAGAAAAGGGCCTTCACCAGAACATGACCATACTAGCACCCTGATCTGCTACTTCCAGCCGCCAGGCCTGTGAGAAATAAATTTCTGTTGTTTATAAGCCACCCAGTCTATGATATTTTTGTTACAGCAGCCCAAACTGACTCACACCCCCAAGAAAGCTGACTCTACTTGCCATCTTCCCCATGGCTGTCAGGCAACACAATCATCTTCTAGGTATGACATTCTTACCCACAAAGTTTTTCTGCAACTTCTCCATTTCCCTGTGTGGCCATGTCAGGGAGTAAATAGATGCTCCTCCTACCCAAACAACAGGACTTAACAGCAATCAAATCAAAGATTGGGCCTCAGAATTAATTATACCAGGCCTACCCAGCAGAGAGCAGGACCCCTTGAGACCATCGTTCAGCTGGGGAGACAGCCCTGGACAGAGCAGAGGGCACCTTTGCCAAAGTAGGTCCTCCAGCCCTGGTTGCCTCAGTCTTTCCACCAAGCCCTGGAAAGAGGCTTTTCTGGTGTGATCTAGCTCCCACAGTGGGAGAGAGAAGAGTTCACATGCACAAAAGATGGTCTTTCCTCTTGAAGTTAAGTGTGCTACAGAGACGGGACAGATGGCCACATCTTAATCAGAAACTAGACTTCAAGATCATTGAGGGTAGTGTTAAATCAAGTTTAACCTAAAGCTAAAGGTTTCTCTGTACATCATGAACTATAGCCTACATGGAAGTGTAAACAAACCGTAGTCTACTGTTGTGCCAATCATGAAGTTTTGATCAATCAAACGTGGCCAAACGTTTAAACCATGTTCAAATAAGGTAAACGCTGAGCTATAACCAATCCAGCTGTTTCTGGACCTCGCTTCCATTTTCTGTAAGTCACTTTCCCTTTTCTGTCCATAAATTCTCTTCTACCACGTGGCTGCGCTGAAGTCTCAGAGCCTATTGTGGCTCAGGAGGCTGCCCGATCTGCAAATTGTTCATTGTTCAATTAAACTCTTCTAATTTTAGTGCAGTTGAAGTTTTTCTTTTAACAGAAGATACAAGCAATATACCAAAATGCTCTGACCACCACATAAGCATTTAAATACCCGGTTAAAAGAAAACAGAGGCAAACTAAGAGCAAGTGAAACACCCTTTCTTTGGGTTCTGATTTCCTTGACTCAGGGACCAACTTTTGGGAGCTACAACCATTATGATTACGCTGAGCTTAGCTCCAAAAACCTATCAGAGCTAACACCTCCTTTTTATAATGACTTTTTAATATCCTCAATAAAATTAATATGCATAACTCATCCTCACACATTTCAAAAAGAAATCAACACAATGCCCTAACTGATATAAAAGAGACACAACAATATTTATAATAAAATAATGCGCATTTCTATATATATATATATATATATATATATGCCCAGGCAGAGCTACGCTAGAAGTCACAATCAAGTCACGAGGCCTCACAGATGCGTAGAGGCCCTAGGAACATAATAGTTACAAATGCAGCTCTGACAGGTCATTGTTTTTGTCATCAGTGAGGTGATTTTCTGAAGTAGGGAACCACTCCTGACAGCACTCTAAACAAAGCAGAGTATAATCTTCTTCTTGATTGGTATGATCATGCAAAATTCAGTGTATGTGAAAACAATGCAGAAAGAACTCATGGAATTTTTAAAAACTGAGTTAGATTCTAAGTTCCAATAATATTAGGTTTTTCACCTATCGGGATGTGTACATCCCAGATGAGAACACTCAAAAGTCATGTGGGATACAGGATGAGTTGTTTCTGTTGGCCTCCACCCAGTAAATGATAGTAGTACCCCTATCCTTGTAAATGACCTCAAGGGCATTGAAACCATGCTCTCAAGTGTTTCTCAGCTAGTCTTTTTGAATGTATTCTAACTGCGAGGAACTTAAGAGTGCTAGGAACTAAGAGCTTTATATGTATAAAGGTCCAGGTACAATTATTATTTCCCTGTCACACATAAGAAAACCAAGGCACAAAGTGGCAAGGTAACTTCCTAAGGTCACAGAACAAGGTTGCAGATTGGGGTGGGAGGCAAAAGTAAGCAGTCCAGAACCCACATTAACCACTGCTTCCTTCCAGTCATGGTGGCAGGCACCTGTAATTCCCAGCAACTCAGGAGACTGAGAAGGGATGATCACTGGAAGCTGGAAGTTCGAGACCAGCCAGAGCAACATGGTGAGACCCCATCTCTAAAAAAAGTTTTTAAAATTAGCTGGGCATGGTGGTGCATGCCTATAGCCCCAGCTACTCATGAGGCTGAGGCAGGAGAATTGCCTGAGCCCAGGAGTTCCAGGCTGCAGTGAACAGTGATTGTACCACTACACTCCAGCCTGGGCAACAGCAAGAGACCCTGTTTCTTAAAAAAGAAAACAATTACCACTCCCTTGCTTTGTTTGCCTCTGCATTTGTGAGACTTTTCAACCTGTTTCCTACTGATAGGTCTAGGTTCTGACAACATGAAAAAGACCTCCAGACAATCACAGAAGACTCTGTTGACTTATTCTGTCCTGTTTCTCTTTCTAAGCATGAAAATCCAGCAACACCGTGTCCACGGACTCCGGAAAGTGTCCTCAGAGCTCGGTTCTTAGCTCACCTCTGTGACCCTTCCTGAGTTTGCTTTCATCCATGGGTTGCTGACCTATTTCACCCATTCGGGTAATATGATAACTAAGCCAAGTAAAAGGGGCATAATTTACTGCCTGCCCCTGCTTTTTCCAATCATCCCATTTGAGCCTCGCTAATCTTTTCCTCACCTCTCTCACCTCTCCTCACCTCACCGAGCTCTTCCGTTTGCTCTGTCAGACCACTGGGTACAGCGATGATAACCTGCCTTCACTCCCGGCGTCATCTCAAACAAAGGTCTGTTTCACCAAATGGGGTGTTTCAGCAGCGAGCAGCTCACCTCTCACCCACAGCTGCTCTGTGCATGGCTCAGGAAGAGTCTCTGAGCACAGATCTGGAATGCAGAACCCCTGGCCTCATGCTCACTTTTCTTTTAGCTGTACACCAGCAGCAAATTCTAGTTGGCTTACCTGTGCAAGCTGGTTGGAGCCTCTGTAACAGTGATGGTCCTAAATTGCTCTGTGGAAGACAAGGTCTCATGCTCCTTGCAGGAATATCATTGTCAAGCAAGTAAACATAAGTCACAAGGTCTTTGAAAATTTGCTAGGTACTCTGGCCATGAGCTCCACTAGCTCTCCTCCAAGGATGACATCCAGCTGTATGAGATAGTTTAAAGAGACGCAAGTGCACCCAAACAGGATTATGCACAGGATTTTAATTTGCCTGTGCCTAAACAGTTACTCTAAGAAAATTTTCAAATCAACACTTTGGTGTTATTCTCTGATATGGTTTGGCTCTGTGTCCCCACCCAAATCTCATCTCAAGTTGTGATCCTCAGTGTTGGAGGAGGGGCCTGGCGGGAGGTGATTGGATCATGGGGTGGTTTCTAATGGCTTAGCACTATCTCCCCCGTGCTGTCTCCTGATAGAAGTCTCAAAAGATCTGATTGTTTGAAAGTCTGAAGCACCTCCCCCTTCACTCTCTCTCTCTCTCTCCTGCTGCCATGTAGGAGGTTCTTGCTTCCCCTTCACCCCTCCGCCACAATTGTAAGTTTCCTGAGGCCTCCTCGGCCATGCCTCCTGTACAGCATGTGGAACTGTGAGTCAATTAAACCTCTTTTCTTTATAAATAAGCCAGTCTCAGGTAGTTCTTTATAGCAGTGTGAGAATGGTTTACTCATAGCTATTTCTTCACCAACCTCGCTTTCCTGTGCTCCTATTCAAGGAGCCACTATCATTGAGCCCAACACTCTATAGCAGAAACAAGGAGAGATGACATAGAAAGACAAGCAAAGAGAGAAACCACAGCACAAAAGGACTGTAGGGCAATGTTTTGGAGATTATATTTTTAATCCAATGTACCAAAGATAGGAGTCCTTGAAAGCCCTGAGAGCAAGCCCAGCCTTATAAGGAACGCATTTCACCTCAATCAAGTCACAATCAGAATCCACGATGTTTCTCCTCAATCTTCACCAAACAGAGGTGCCCATAAACAGAGACCTTGTTCTCTTTCTCCTCTTTCCTTTCTTCCATCTGTAGTTCCTTCCATTTTTTCCTGAATAAAATAAATACAGAGGCACTAGTCTAGTACAAAAAGCCTTTCTTTCATAGGTCTAGTAGAGATCCTGGAAATATTCAAAGCCCATCACCCAAGAAAAGGCAGGGGAACAATGAAAATATATTTTCTGAGTTACATCAGGAAATAGAATGTTTTAATTCACCTTTCAAACACTGTAAATTCAACCTCTCAGTGATTAAATTGAAGTCTAATAAGAAAAGATGGCATATCTGAGTCACCTCTCTTGTGTTTTAATCTCCTTCTCCTGCCAGCTGCACTCTTTAGACAATAGAATCCAGTCCTGCTTCATATGACACCAGTGTCCCTTGCCTATCCCTCCTTCCAAGCTCTGGTCACATGTTCTCTAACTCCTTGCTGGCCATCTTCACCAGATGTCCTTCAACACCTCCAGCCCGAACTCACCTCCCCTTTGCACAGTGCTCCTCACTCCTTATCCCTCCATACCTTCAGCACCCTTTCCCATTCCTGGCTGGAAGCAACCCCATGGTATGTTTGCTTATATTCTACTTTGTGACTGGTACATGATGCATCTCAGCACTAGACTATAAGTTCCTTAAGAGTCAAATCTGTGTTGGATTCATTTTTGTATTCGTCACATCATTCAGCAAGTGCCTTGCACACTGGAGTACTCACTAAATATTTCATGAATGCAGAGGGCATTCAGCCTTTTCTGTTGTTGGCAGGGAAATCAAAGGGACCTAAATGAATGTGGAAGGACTGGAGCACTATTGTGGCAAAGTCTGGGGTATGGGAAGGGAGCAACATCCTCTGCAAATGCCTTACAGAGTGCTGGTCATTCCAAATGTTCAGTAAGACATAGTTGACTGACTGACCAATGCTCACTGCTCTTGGAAAGCTGTTGGAATGGTGGGGTGACAACACTTTCTTTTCATTTGCCCTAAAGGCACAGAGTCAGGAGCCAGAGCAAGGGGGCACGTTGCATACTCTTTCTGCCCAGTGCCACAGACAACAAACCCCAAGTCTCTGCTCCTGCCGGACTGCCACAAACATATATAACGTCTATAAACTTTGGATGTAAGGTAATAGGTCATCACCATCATTATTACAGTTTTCCACTTTCC